CTATATTTGACCCAGTGGTGGGTAAAATAGAGTAAGAGTCAGGAAAATGTGTGGGAAAGTTCAGTCAAGACACTGGAGATCTCCAGGCTGAAAATCCTGGAGGAAATTCCACGTCACGAACCATCATAAGATGGGGGAAACACCCCAGAATATCGATTATTTTACTTTATGGAAGAAAAGTAAAACAAAAGTTCTTAATAGTATCTAATTTATTGTGTATTGTTATATCTGCAAAGTAGCTACTCAGAGTGCAAGATATGGGCATAAAACTTCTCCAAATAATATTAGAACAAACCGTTCTTTACAATGAATAAGAGAAACTAATGGTATAACTATCTTTTATTTTTTTTTCCTTAACCCTTTCTTCCATTCCTCTTTCCCCTATTCTAGTTCCTTTTTCCTTTTGAACAATTTCTTCCCATTTCACAATGACTATTATACATTTGGACCATTTTTTCACTTTCAATCTCTCACACCAGGGAGACAATATGATGATTCACACACATGAATGGGTTTGTTTCACTTATGAGTATGGTGTCAAGTTGCAGCCATTTACCTATAAAAGTCTCAAGCTAATCTTCATTATGGCTGAGTAGAACTCCACTGTATAAAAAGACAACATTGTTTTTATCCATTCGTAGGTTGATGGACATTTGGGTTGATTACAAGATTGAGCTACTACAAATTGTGCTGCTATACACGGGTGCACACATATCACTGTGATATGACATTTTTAATACTTCTGGAAAGACAATCAGAAAGAAAAAAAACCTGTATATCTAATGGACAGAGACTTGGTCTTAAAAACACTGGGGAAGTAGAAATGACACTGATCCTTTATCAGTAGAAGCCCCTAACGTGAGGTGGTATCCTCCTAGCTATACAGCACTCATGTTTCTCCTGGGATTCTGACCATAGTAGGCTACACCTCCCTGCTGTGCAACCTCCTGAATATTCTGTTTTCTTTGGGATCTTCGGTAGCCACAGCCTAAACACATGACCCTTCTTTGAGGAGGCTTAGAGTGGAGTCAGAGGCAGGTTAGCCCCGCAGCTCAGGAGAGCAGCTGCTTCCTCCACAGCCGAGGATCAGAGCCCCACAGAGTCCTTAATGCTGTCCTGACCTCTACTGGGACTTGGGGCCTCTCTTCCAAAACTCTGCCATCTATTACAGTGCCTGAGAGTCCCTGCTGGCCTTGGAGTCACAAGCCCCTTCTCCACACTTGCTGCTGGCATTTCTATCACATGTATAATGAGAAGTGTGACTTCATGCCATTCTCAGAGCATGGCTTGTTCGAATACCAGTAGGTAAAGATTTCCTTTAAACACACCAAGCATAATGAATGAGTACAATGACATTTAAATCAAAGAAATATTTTTAACACTAGCACAATAATCATCTTACTTTTCTTTGGCCTTTCTGAGCTCCAGCTCTGCCTTGCCCTGCGTGGATAAAAAACAGGACGAAAATGAGTGTGGAACTGTGAAGAGATTAGCGCCTCACCAATCACACTGCTGACTCAGAGGGATCCAGTCCTGTGGGCCACTGAGAGAAACATAGTCCTGCAACCAGTCTGGTATAGCTTAGTCTCACCTAGCACCTTTGTCTTATGGTTTTCCTTTAGTTACTACTACAAGAAAGCCTGGCAACTGTGGCAGTGGTACGCAGGCCCTGCTGATATGCATGTCATAGAGCAAAGCACACCGCTGTGAGGAATTCTTTATAGGTTGCTCACACCTTGAGCAGGGGTCAGACCCAGTCAGGGTGCACCATGGAAATGAGTGTCTCCACTCAGCTCCCAGGGCTCCTGTTGCTCTGGCTTCCCTGCAGAATGGGAATTTACTTAGCCAGATGTAGTCTATGCTGCCTGATCCTTCATAGCCATTTTCTCTAACATGATTGATTGTGTGAATCTTTGTTTCCCACATCAGGTGCCTGATGTGATACTCAGATGACTCAGTCTCCATCCTCCTTGTCCTCATCTCTTGGAGACGCAGTCACCATCAGGTGCCAGGCAAGTCAGAGCTTTAGCAATGAGTTAGTCTGGTACCAGCAGAAACCAGGGAGGGCGCCTACACTCCTTATTTATGAGGCACCCAGTATGCAGTCTGGAGTCCCATCAAGGTTCAGTGGTGGTAGATCTGGGACAGATTTCACTCTCACCATCAGCAGCCTGAAACCTGAGGATGCTTCAACTTATTACTGTGGACAGGACTGCAGTCTCCCTCCCACAGTGATACAAACCTTAACATAAACCAGCCAGAGGGCAGAAGCATGAGGCTGGATTGACCTAGCTGCTCCTCCTGATGCAGTGATGACTTCATGGAGCACTGCAACTGGATTGGGGTGTGCTGCTGCCCCCTTCTTCACATCACTGTGATTAAATTTGTTTGTTCTGTTCTGTTTTTCCTCCATCAACGTGTTTTCTTCCTCCTGGTATTCTCTGAATGCCAGAGCAATTCTCCACTAAATGTGATCTTGATATTTATCCTAGTTGATAGATAATTGAGCCTCAATAATTCTGGGCTGTTGCAGACATGTACGTTTATCCTAATCCAGTCCCTAATTCCAGGGCCACCCTGTTCGGTTGGAAGAAGCAACAAGACTTTTTTCTGTGCATCACTGACACAGCTTTCATAATGCTGGAGTGTGCAGAGCAAGGGCAAATATCATCAAGGGGACACAGGATGGGACTCTGAAGACATGGCTTAGATGCAGTCCATCTAGGCAATGGGAGTTAAAGAAACTCTGTGTCTTCACATGATCACTTATCTTTGAGCTACATGCCTTTGAGGAAAGCCTTGTCTCTGTGAACCTGCAGTGAATTACTTTGTCCTACAGTTGTAAAAAGGGTGGTACAGGGCCATTGCTAATTGCTTTTTTGCATGTTATTAAGTATTTAAGTTTTCATTTTAAAAATTGTTTAAAAATCCATGCTTGCATGAATGTTGTAAGCTTATTACACAGAGCTACCTTTTCCTGCATAATTCAGTGTCAGTTGGCGGCCATGTATACCATTGTTCCAGGATTTAATTCATGACTTTATGGAAAGCTGATGCTAAATGTGTGAATTTTCCTAGTAAATCCCAGATGCCAAGCACATCTTCAACTTTAGTTATGGGTTTCTAAGGCTATGGCTCACAGAAATGCCTGGGAATTCCTGGCTTGGATGTGCAAATGTCAGCTGTCTGCAGTAACTCACAAGTGACTCTTCAGGCCTCTCTTGTGTCCACATATATAGACTTTTAAGTCTCAGATGAAACCTGTCACAGGAAGGGGAGAGGAAAAGAGGATCAGGAAAAGGTGCTTCTAGGGTGACAGTAGTGATAGCGCATTATCAGCTGACTTTCCTGAGAGGTTGCTCTTGACCCATCTCTCAGAATTTCATCAGGTGGCGCATGTCTCCAAAAAAGTGGCAATAATACAAAATCTCATGCAGGTTTCAAAAGAAAATTTGTGTCAAGTTCTGTAACGCCAGTGGCATACTGGGAAACACCAGGCTACACATGAAAATGAAACTAAGCCATGTATTAAGTGGGAAGTGTAAGTACAGACCTAACAGCTGTGCTGGTACATAAGAAAAATAACACTGCATTTGATCTCAGTCAAAACACTGAAAAGTGATGTGAAAAACAAAGTTGTAAATACATCATTTTTTAAAAAGCTAATATTTAAGGTAATAGTATGAGAATTAGCACTGCAGTGAATCAAATTAATACCAGGCAAGAATATTGGAAGAATGGTTTCTGTTCAGAATGCAGGGTTAATCTCATATGCTTATAATGCAGTTTTGCTCTTGGCTATTGTATTAGCTTATTTTCATGGGCATAAAGTGTACATCTTTCTAGGCAACCACTAATATGACTCTAATCTGATGGCATTAGCAGGGAAGCTATTCCTAAACATAGCTATGCACCTGAGGCTGAGGACAAATCCAGGAATCAGTCAAAATCTTATCAGCAAGTTATTTTTCAGAATCAGATGGTTGCTAAATTGAGGCAGACACATTTATACTGAGTAGGAACCACGGTAGCTGTCCTTTAAGGAAGTAGCTGCTGTGAGAAAAATCATGACAAACAATCAGGGAGGTTTTTGCACAGGTTGAATCACTGTGGGACACCCACTATAATCCTGGAAACTGATAAACTGCAATGTCCTCGGGCTGCAGGCTGCTGATGGTGAGAGTGAAGTTTGTCCCTGATCCGCTGCCACTGAACTGGGCTGGGACACCAGTCGCCCTGCTAGAGGCAGTATAGATGAGGAGTCTGGGAGCCTGTCCAGGTTTCTGTTGGTACCATTCTAGGTAGTTGCTCACACCCTGACTGGCCCTGCAGCTGAGAGTGACTGTTTCTCCAGGAGACACAGCCAGGGAGGCAGGAGTCTGAGTGGTTTTGTCCAATGGTGCTGATAATGTAATATAGAAAAAAAAAATGTTACCTATGTAATTCAGGTAACACCCATTGTCTTCTCAATAGTGTCTTCTCAGCTCATTGATCAATGCTGAACTTTAATTAATGTGCTTGCTGATCAGAGATGCCAGGACACAGGACCCAATGTTAAAGAGTTTCCAAAAATGTGCTGAATCATTATCCTGTAATCCCCTCACCTGGGAGCCAGAGTACCAGGAGACAGAAGAGCAGAGCTCAGGCTTCCATGGTTCACTCTTAGTCCCACTTGAAGCAGATCACCCAGCAGAACCGTGCATTGATATGTATGCTGGAAAGCAGGGCGGCCTGGCCTACAAAGCAGCCAGAGTTGAGTGCTGGGCTTCAGCAATGCAAACATTGGTCTTATCTTCTCCACACTTGACAGACTTCTCCCCAGGTGTTCATGTCAGGAAATGTCCTTTATTCAGCCTTAATAAAGAATTTCCCTTTTGTGTTCACAGAATTTATTCTTTGTGACACCCTGTCTCACCAAACCCCAGGACTCAGCCAGATGGTATTTAGTGCAAACCTGTGAGGAACAAGATAGAAGTCTATGGAGACTATTGTAGTCAGGACCTGCTCAGATGCAAATTTATAATATTATTTTATCATGGTCACCCAGCATAAACTACAATGAAGTACAGGTAATCTGGGCATAACAGTGAAGACCTAGAAAATCCAGCTGAGGGCCTGGATCCCAAAATAGTGTTTTGCATGAGTCCAGCTGAAGACCTGGAGCCCATAACAATGCCTGCCATGAGTCCAAATGGAAGTCTAGAACCCACCACAATGATTCATGCAAGTCTATTTTGTGGATCTTTTCTGGGAAGGCCCAAAGATCAGTGGTGGAAGCTAGAAAGTCTATGCCAGTGGAATGAAGGATCTGAGCGTGTAGCTTGAGAGTTCGACAATGGAGCCAAGAAGAAATGCTCAAAATAAGGACCAGGTCTTCCTAGAAAATTATCACAGACATCGTCAGTGAAAATGAGGTCCTGAGCTCCTCCTATGATAATAGCCAACTACATGCCAGGAAGACAGCATGATGAGCTTCTCACAGAAATTAAATAGCACACATCTTCCACTTCAGAATCAGGTAGCAATGATGAACAAAAGGACAAGACCTAACCCAAAGTGAACTGTGATCATTCTCAGCAACAAGGTCACAAGCTCCTCCAATGATAATGACCAAATTCATATCAAGGTAAGCTCCAAAAGACAACACTTAGAAGACACCACAGCACCTTCTCCTCCCCTCCACATATCTTCATATGCTGGTAGTTTTCCTCAGGTGGGCCATCTACACTCAGAATCATGCAGATTTAATTCAGCTGATACTAAATTGACCACTAGTTTTTAATGCATGACAGGGACATTGCTTCTTTCTACAAATAATGTTTCTCATCATCTCCCTAGGTGCTAGAATGCATCTCATTGAAATAAGTCTTTCTATGGAGTTTGTCTTCCACATAGACATTTCCTTTGCAGTTTTGAGATCTTTCCCGAGATCCCTGGTGCAGCCTTACTCTGAAGAGAATTCACAAAGGCAGCTTGCACTTAGGCTCAGTAATGTCGGTCAGTGGACAACCACACCTGCACAGATGAGCACCACCAGGTTTCTGTTCCTTCCCTGTACTGACACCGTTTCCTGTAAGACAGATGACAAAACTTTCAGAGTGATGAATGTTAGACAAAAGTACCAAAAATACACAATAAGGAAAGGAAAGTATTTTCAACAAATAGTGTTGGTAAAAACAGATATACACTAGCAAAATGATCGCTAAACATACACCCCTCACTATCCATAAAAAAGTAATCCAAAGTTTATTAATGTATTTTGTGTAAAATCTAAAACTATAAAATCTAAAAGAAAGGAAATGGGTAAAGTACCTTGACCTTGGTCTTGCCATTGCCTTTTTAGATGTAACACAAAAATTGCAGACAACAAAACTAAACAAGTGGGACAAAAGCCTTCTGCAAAACAAAGGAAATATTCAACAAAAGGAAAGGAAATCTACAGGATGCAAGAAAATATTTACAAATCAAATATCTGATAGGTATTTAATCTTTAAGATGCATATGCAAACAACTCAGTAGCAAAAACAAAAGTAAACACAAAACAAAGAGCTTCTTAAAAATGGGAGAGAATACAATTTCCAAAGGATGCACACAGCAGTCGATATTTAAAAAGGTACTCATTGCTGCTAATCATGCAGCATGGAAATAAAACCATAATAAATACCACATTGTATCTACTAGAATGATTACTTTCAAAAAGACAAGAAATACCAGCTGTTGTTGAACATGTGGAGAATAAAGAAACCACCTGATACTGTTGGTGGAAATGTAAACTGGTACAACCATTATAGAAAGCAGTTATAGATGTTTCTCAAAAATTTAGTAATAGAACCACCATATAATCTCAACTATGGGAGTATGTCTGATAGAAATGGAGTCAGAATCTTGAAGAGACATGTGCACTTTCATGTTCAGTAAGCATTATTTGCAACATACAAGATGTGAAAGCAACATATCTGATTGAATATTAGTTATAAAATAAAATGGAACTCCTACCATTCAGGACAACACTGATGAAACTAATGGATATCATGCTATCTGAAATGACCCTGACACAGCTGACTAAATACTATGTGATCTCATGTATGTAGACTCCAAAACGCTTAGTCATAGAACCCTGGGGAGGTCTCATCCTGAATAAAATGTAGAAGAAGGAAAACATTCAGTTCTCTCACCTTTTTTGCTCTTCCTTCTGAAGTGGGTGCATCTTATGGTTCTCTTGCTTGTGGATATCAGATTCTATGCTTTTCGATCCTCAATATGGATTTGCCTCAGGGAACCTCTCTCTGGGAGCTTTCAAGATTTTGTTATGAACTAGGATAGTGTGCCAGTCTCTTTCATTCTGAGATTTCCAGCTTCTTAGGCAGAACAGGTGTAAACTTTCCTGGCTCTCCAGTTTGCAGTCATTGTAGATCATTTTACCTTCAGCTATCATGTGAACCAACTAAAAAGTTCATATGTATTATAGATATAAATGATAAATACACAGGTAGATAGCTAGACACATACATAGAGAGATAATTCTAACTCTTTCTGGAGAAGCCTAATCAATGTATTGACAATAATTTATTTCAAGATACATAAAAACTACCCAATAAAATAGGAAACTGCATGTTTATCTGTATGCACTGTTTTATTTAACTGCAAGTCATCCCCCCAAATAGCATTCAAATGACCAAAAAAACCAAGAAGTTATTCAATAATCATTACTCATTAAAGAAACATAAGTTCTAATGACAATATCACCTTAAAAGCCAAAAAACAATAAGTATTAGAAAGGCTTCAGACAACACACGTTTTTGTGCATGGCTGGTAGCATGTAAATTTGTTCTCAGTTTTATAAAATGTCCAAGGAGCATTTGCTAAAGATAAAGCAGTGCTAACCAAGTCCATCACTCACTACTTTCAGTCCTAAGAATATAGTCAGGGGAAGAGAGCAAAGAAGTCCATAAAAGACACTATAAAAAATCCCTGAAAGTTAATAACAACCTCAAAGCTAAAACAACACATGAAATCAGGAATAAATTTACTATGACATGCTCATGTCATAGAGAATTATTCAAAATAAAAGGAAGAAATTACTACCTAAGCAAACACATAGATAAATTGAAAAACTCATGTCGATAAAAAGAAGTAAGAAGCCAAAGACATACAAGTATTCCATTGCTGTAGAGTCTGAGGAAATACGGTTCACACTGGTAGAAGACAGGAGCATGGCATCCTCCTGTAAAGGTGGATGATACAGGATGTCTGTAGGGTGGAACCAATAAAAAGAGGCATGGGTGAAGCTGGAGACAGGGCTTTATCTCTCTCTGAGTGGTGGTTCAAGGCAAGATGTGTATAAAGTTACCAGCTATATACTTTATATTAAATTAATGTACAATAAACACACTTTATTGCATTAAACAGCATCTAATTTTAGTGAATGAATGAATGAGTGAATGAATGAATGAATGAATGAAGTTACAGGTTCAGAGGAGCAGAATATGTTTCCATCTTCTGACCTATGACTGCTGGTACCTTCAGCAAGTGATGTTACATGAGCCTCTGATTCCTTATCTATAGAGGATTCATAGGGGATTAGGTGGCCTGGAGGAGTCCAGTGTTGAATACAGAGCAAGCCTTCAAGACCATTAAGTGGCAGTTGCCACAGGGGCAGTTTTGCTCTTTATTATTATTACTAGTGTTGTACTACTAAAACTATCTCCCATAGTTGGGAGATGGCTTCCTATTGTGCATTAGTTCTCTGCACAATAAAAGTTTTAGAAACTGTCTCAGAGAAAGAATTCAAAGACCATGTTACAGACAAGTCCTGGGTAGTCCTGGCGTAGAGATCTAATTTTCAGACTTCACTGAAGGCTAGAAGCCTTGTTTTGTCAACAAATCATATTCTGAAAGACAAGTCCTCTATACCCTCACCACTGAACCCTGTATACCCACCCACCCATACCCATCGCAGGGGCTGCAGTTGTAAATAAGGCACAGGAGAGAGGGCAGCTGCTGAAACCACAAAACCTCCTGTGCAGATGGTTTATGTATGGGACTGTAACACTGTGAGAGGGACTTCGTAGTCCTGCTGGCAGTAATATGTGCCAGTGTCTCCAACCTCTACCCCGCTGATTTTGAAAATGAATTCTGTCCCACTCTGTATGCCACTAAAGCGATCAGAGACACCAGGATATTTGTTATCAGCATCATAGATGATAATCCTAGGAGACTGGCCTGACTTCTGCTGATACCAGTTCAAATAATCACTAATTCTTTCACTGGCCCTGCAGGTGATGGAGACGCTCTCTCCTGGAGTCACACTCAGAAAGGCTGGGGACTGTGTCAGGGCAGCGCTCCCACTGGTGGCTGAGAGGGAAGGAATACACAACCAGTGTTAGTGAGTGGGTCCCCACCTGTTTTCCTCCAGAAGACCTGGGCTCTCTGGGTCCCTTAACCTAAGGGCACCTAGGTCTCTGAGAAAGAACCATGACCCAGAGAGTCCCAGAGTCTCTGAGAGGCTCTGACCACCAAGTAAAGAGAAATCTGTCATCTGGGATGTGTTCCCTGCAGCTGTCTCACTCACCTGGGCAACAGAGCAGCAGAAGGCAGAAAAGAGGAGTCAGGACACCCATGTTTGGTCTTAGCTCTGCTGAGGCTCTTTTTGCCCAGATCCACCAAGCAGCCTTTCAAGAGGACTCCAAGGAGCAGAAATGGCCTCTAGGCAAAACATGCAAATCAGCAGCGAGGCAGGGCACAGATCTGGGCTGAGCTGGGCACACCGAGGGCTCAGTTCCTTTGCTGACCACATTAGGTCCCAGGTGAATTCCTTCTCGGTGTTTTTAAAATAAACCATCTGTCTTTTCTGGTCTTCATTTGTCCTTGAGGTCTAAGTCTGTGCAGTTGGAATAAGATATCCTTCTTCTAAGAATAAGGAAACCAAGAACTTGAGTGATTTCTTACCTGGCCTCAAAGACTTGCATCTTAATAAAAGCATGTAGAATTCCATAAAATATCTTGGAGATGGAATGATGGGTCTATGCTGATATGCTGCTTAGATTAGATACTCTGAGGTCACAGGGAAGAAAATGTCTTTAGGCAAATCTATGCTATACCTCTTTAGACACCATGCAGTAGAAAAGAGCCTCAGTTTATTAGAATATATTTCCTTGAGCAGAGTAACTCTTTATTTTGGAGATTAATGCATTTTATTAACTTTTTCATTTTCTATAGTGACTTGATTCTCATTTTTCTCATTAACTTTCTCCCACTACGTTGGCATATCAGAGGAGAACTATGGCTCTGGTGCTAGAATTCCAGCACGATCATTTGTGGTCTTTTTGTCTACAAATGACTCAATTTCCAAGGAAACTTTATAATCACTCTATATTCTGGTTTTTTTCTCATCCTGGTACACTGAAATCTTTAAAAACTTGTAATACACATAAAAATGGAGGAAACTAAAAGTGTTTTATATCTTCTGTCAGTACAGTGAATTTTTGTCTCCTTCTGTAACTCATATTGGATTATGTCCAAACACAAGACAACCACTCTGCCACCATGGAGACTTTGGGTGTCACCTGTATTATAGTTAAGTACACACGGCCCTGTAGCTCCTCTTCTTAGAAGACAGTCCACAACCTGAGTGTAGGTCACCTTCTACCTTCTACTCCTCTGCAGCCAGTAGGCATTTTAATGCCTTACGGAGTCGTTTCAGTAAAACTGACTAATATTTGATTTTCAGGTTCGTTGTTGTTTGCTGGGAGCAGGGATGGTTTTTTCCCCAGATTTTCTCTAGGTGAAATCTATAGTACTTCAGATGTGTCCTCTCCTTGATGGCAATCTCAAGGGCTTCACATTAGTTATCATACAATTTCTCAGTGTATTCCTGGTATTCTGTAAGCCATCACGCAATAGCTATTTAGGGGAATTTCAGTGGCATAACACAGTCAGTGCTTTGAGACAGACCTGTGAGCTGAACACTCTGAAGTGCTGATGGTGATGATTTAGCCTGATGTCGGCTTGATGGCATTGATAAATCCCCAGGTATCTAGAACAGCACAATTCTGAATGTGTCCCTAAGAGTACTTACTGAGAAGACTTGGCATCTTGGGCAGCAAAGTGAGATAAGACCTACCCGGAATGTGAATGACACCATGTAATAGGCCCAGGGCCTGCTGGTGGATCAAAAGACAAAACTAAAAAAAGTAACCACAGCTACAGTAATTCGTTAAAGAATACCAAATATAAAAGGTGATAAATTATTAATTGACATCAAAATATAAAATTTGGGGAGGGGAGAAGTAAAAACGTGTTCAGTTTTTGCATGTCATCAAAGTTAAGTGGTTAGCAGTTTCGAAGTCTGTTACAACCAGATGTTTGACAAAAGTCCCATGAGAAATACCAAATAAAAACCCATAACAGCTACACAAAAGATAAAGAGAATGAAATCAAGTGATGACATCCCAGAAAATCATAAAATCACAGACGAGTACATCAAGAGGGGTAAAAGTAAGGACTGAGCAATGAAAAATGAGAAAATTAGCAAAATTGAAAAAGTCAAGTCTTTTTTAATAATAAACTCGAATGTAAATGGATTAAAATCTCTAAGAAAACCATATCCACTGGAGTGGCCTAAATTTCTTAAAAGATAAAAACCAACTATATACTACCTATAAGAGATTCATCTTGGATTTGTGAGTGCACACAGTCAGCAAATGATGGATGGAAAAAGATATTACATGCAAACAGAAATGAACAGAAAGCAGCTACTATAAATAGAGAAAAAAAATTTAAGAGGAAAACTGAGTAAAGACAGGAAAAAGGGTCACTGCATCATGAAAAGGGATGAATGCAACACTGGAACATGAGGATTATAAATATATATGTACCCAGTTCTGGTGCCCCAACACATATAAATACCATATTAATAGTTCTGAAGGAAAATATAGACACAGAAATACATTAATAGCAGCAGATGGCAGTGTCTGGATAGATGATCCACACGGGAAATCTATGAGGAGATATTAGATTTAAACTACACTTTAGATCAGACCCTGCCTCCCAAAACCCCCAGAATATACCTCTCCTCAAGCACACACAGAGTATTTACTAAGACGGTCACATGTTAGGTGACAAACACAAATCTTGATAACTTAAATGAGACTGAAATCATACCAAGTAGCTCCTCAAACTACAATGGCATGGAAGTATCATCCTGAAGCAGGAGAAATTTTATGAAATTCACAATATATGGCAATTTCAAAACTAATCAAATGTCATGCAAAAACTCAAAAGAAAATTACCTTATTTTGAGGCACATTAATGAGGAAACACAAAATAACAAAACTCATGGATGGGCCAAAGGCATTCTAAAGAAAGACTTTACAGAAACAAATGTCTACATTAAAAAAAAAAAAAAAAGATTTCAAATAAAAAATATCAGTGGGCCTGGTCAGTCCAGTAGTGTGGAATATTTTGCACTTTTGCAGTGGGTGAGGGAAGTGCCAATAAATGACCCAGTTCAAAGCATCTGTATAGACCTCAGTGTGGCTCTAATTCCCGCCCACTTTTCCTCTACATACATATGGTTATACATGGGCGGCAACACTGCACCTTCCTCCACTTCATCAGATCTCCAAACACAGACTCTGAGCACGTGGACATTCAGGATGTGCGCTGATTGCACCTCTCCTTGTTGTGACTCCTGCAGGGAAATTTCTCCAGCGGACAAGGCTGTTTTAGCTTGGGGAGCTGGCATTGTGCAAGGCTGGCTGCAGCTCTACCAACACTGAAACACTACGACATCTTCAGCTTCCACTCCGTGGGAGACGAGGCAGAAGTCACAGCCAGAGCTACTTCCCAGAACCAAGAAGGGGCTCCCAAAGAAGCCCCTTGGTGCAGAAGCCCCACAGACAAGCAGCCTGGGAGACCCTTTGGATTTCTGTTTGCACCAGGATTTGGAGGTTCCTACCACCATGCTGCTTATACAGGTGAAGGAGACAAAGTCACCTGGAGATGCTTCCAGGGTCTCTGAAAGCTAAGTCAGGGAAACCTGTCCTCTGCACTTGCAAGAGCTCTGCATCCTGGCAGCACTGCATCCAGGCAGCACCTGAGTCAGAGAATTAGAAGAAAAATACCATCCCATGGTCGTGGTGAAGGCAGGGAATGGGTTCAAATCTGCTTGCATCTCTGCCTCACTGTTTGCATTGCACTCTGTCCTCAAATTCCTAATAATATCTAAGACAAAACCACACTTCATGTCACACTGACATTTCCAAAGCATATTTAGTGCACTTCATCTCTGTATCAAGGGCTAAATTTCCAGCTCAAGATGGGCAGAGAAATGTGCTTCCCATAAATTCCCATCACCAGGAGGCAGAGAAGCTGGACCAGGATTCTCACCATCCAGGGTCCAGAGATGCTCTGCTCCTGGATAGAAAGACAAGGGGAGTGGGGTTGGATAGCTGGTTACCTATCAGGACTGCCAGGAATTAAAGCTCATGGTAAGGGTGTTAAAGAAGCATAGGTGGTTTTGGAGACTTCCTGTGAGATGGCTTGAACCAGAGCTTTTCTCTAAGTGTCCTCCAGGCCTGGCAGGCTCACTTTACTGCCGCTCTGGGAGGTAAAGGTGATGGGAATGCCTGGATCCTGCAGAGCTTTGGCTGAGAGAGAGAGAGAGAGAGAGAGAGAGAGAGAGAGAGAGAGAGAGAGAGAGAGAAAGCAGCAATACTGCCCTATCCCCAGGCCCCTTCTTGAGAAGATACAGCTGAGATCCCTGTAGCCAGCCAGGTGTCAGCAGAGTGGTCACTGTGCAGTCTGTTTTCATGCAGATGAGAAGTAACTCTTCTTCTCTTGCTTGAAGCCAAGTTGGCTGTTGAGCAGCCCACACAGTCACCAGAGTGGCCACCCAGCCTGTGAGTCTAAGAAGCCCACTAGGCTCTGCAAGACTTCTTCACCACTAGATTCTGTGAGGAGCCAAGACCTGGAATCCTGAAATTTCCCTAGAGGGCACAGTCCCAGGAGCAGGGAGGAAAGCGCATCTCCTAACAATCCTGGCAATCAGAGACCAGAAGATAAACAGGTAGGCAAGAGCTCTACATTTTTGGCTTAATCCTAGAGACAACTGAGCATTTATATTCCTAAAGTAGAGCTTTCTCTCCTATCTGAGTCAAGTCAGGACTAAAAAGTGATTCTGATAGAGTATTTTGCAAAACATTTCATAATGCTTCATAAACTTACCTAAAAAGACCAAGCTCATTTCTATACCTTGATAAATTTAATCCCCACAACCGACCACAGTACACACACTTAAGTGTTTGTCCACACAGTTAGAGGAGGGGAAAGCAGAAATGGATCCCACTGAGCTCAGCCACCCATACCTCCCAAGAAGGCAGGAGATCACAGTCCCTGAAAACAGTCACAGCTTCAGCGATTAATGGCTCCTGACCCTCTGTGGAGGCTGATTCTCCCTCCATGGATGAGGGCCATCTGTGTCCTTCCTTCTGGTGATCATAGGTGCAGAGCAAGTCTTTAAGCAAAACTCAAGCAAGGCCTCCCTGTGAGAGCCTCTCCAGGCAAACTGAATACATTTGCAGAAGTAAAATGATTTGTGATGATGAAGGGAATAAAAGAAGAGAAAGAGACACAGAAGGAAAGATGGTGGTGTGTGTGTACAAAGGAAGAGCTGATAC